CCTTACTTTGACTCTAAATATTCCAATACTTTTTATTTAGTAGAAATATTTAAAATTAAATTATTGTCTGAAAACACAAATTTCTTAATCTCACCCCAAATAAGTCAGCTTTCATTGCTCACAAATTTGCTGTATCATATTTCTAAGCAATTTATTTTGCACACACATTTAAAATAAAATGGGCACTATTTAAAGTTAATGCACATTTTAAGCATTCTGATTTTTAAAGAATTAGTTTTTCAAATAAAATGAAAAACTAACTGTTGCGCCTTTTCAAAACACTTTCTATATTCATATAGAATATTAAGCCAACATCAAAATTTATAAAAACTTTTCTTCTCGGTAACTACTAAGCATTACTTTTCGATAAATTTTTAATATAAATCTAAAAAAAGCATATTGCTAACCATGTTGACATAAACTTGTTCACTAAATTGTCTTCTAAAATGAAAATAATAGACGGTAACAGCTATAAAAGATGCCAAAATAGCAGCAATTGCGATGCTGAAAATAATTATCTCAAAATTATATTTCTTGCAGAAACTTCTCGGTGCTGACTTCCGATCTGCAAAAGATACATTCTCTTTTGACTTTTCGAGATCTATAGGTGAGCTTTTTCCAGTCATCTCGCCGTTATAAATTTCTAAAACTGAAAAAGAGTTAAGCAATGAATTTGCGAAAAATGAATGACAAGATAGAAATATTTGAAATTAAATTTACAAAACGATAGGAAAAAAAATTTGGTATACACTTTTTTACCTTCTAAAGTCATTTTGTGACAGCAAAACAATTATAAGTAAGTTATAAAAATTAAAGGAATGAATGAATGGCAAGAAATAAGACACAGTTTTTGAAGGTATTGAAATAAAAATGTTTCAATAATGCACTCTGAGCAAATAATAAAGATGGAAATTATCAGAAAACTTGTCTCAAATTACTTTAAAAAACTTCTGTTAATGTGAAAAAAGCGTAAAAGTGGAATGCACGAGGTGTGACCAAAGTATAACATCCATGAATAGCTGTACCTGGCTGAGCACAATCTTCACATGGGTGTATTTTGGATTTGTTAATGGTCATATCATGCAAACTACTGTTATCACCGTCATCATGAGATGTCATTTGACGAATCGGCACCGTTGAGGTTTCAATCGTTGTTGGCATCTCGCACCTGAGCAATAATTATAAATATTATTTTATCTGCAGTACTGTTCAGTTATCCGAATATAATTACAGTAAATGAAAAAAAGTAAGAATTAAAATTTGAACGTCACACATAGTGCAAATTTAATTTGTATTACATTCTTTATAAATTTGAACTAAGAGCAAAATAGAACCAAATATATCAAAAATCAAATTTGGTTATGAGATTTTACAAATGTTTACTGCTTTTTTTTTGAAACCAATATTTGATATATAAAGATTAAGTAACAATAAATAAGTATGTATTGAGAACCATTATTATTCAGCGCTAAATAAACAATATTTGAAGCTTTTTCGCAAATGAATCACTTTATCTCTCATTGTTTTTCTCTCAACTGAATTATAAAAAAAGCAAGAATCATTAGGATGAATAAAAAAATGAAGATTATTTACTGTTATTCAATAACTAAATAATAATTAATGTAATCAAAATTATTCAACTAAATAAATATCCCTAATTGAAATTTTTTTCAAAAACTGATTAACAAGCATTTAAAAAGCAACCTTTATTTTTCATTTAATTAAATTTGCTTTGATTTTAACATACATGCACTACTTTCATATTTTCGCCTAGTAAATCAAATAAATAACCATTGATTCATTTATAATCGAAAATATCACTTTCTATTTTACTTTTTGTTAAAAATGAACGAGTAAAATAGCAATTCAGTCTGCCACAAATCCAAATTATTGCAATAACTAGTACGACAAATATTTTTACCTTCCAAACTTATTATTTTGCATAATTCATGCGGCAGTTTGTGAAAAAGTTTGCACTTCAAATAAAAAATAAACAATTTAAAAATATAAAAATAGAAATCACCATTTATCATCATCCATTTCATTGCATTTAAGATCTTTACTTGCAAGAATATAAATAAATATATGCAGTCAAATTAGTGATATCACACCAACACTGCATGTCTTTGCCTACAACACTTCTTTTTCAACATTTCAATATTTTAAACGTAAGGAGCTCCATATTTGAATATACATTAGTTTTAGAAAAAATAGTCAGTGCAATCACAAGTCTTTCGATGTTAAAAAATATTGCATAATAAATAGTTGATATTTCTATTTCTGTGCTTTTTAAAGTAAAAAACTTAAATGCAGCAAAGTTAATAACGAACACCGATTCTTGTATTTAAAAACGTACTAATTTTACGTTATACAATCATCTTGAGCACTTTTATCGAACTTTGTACCGGTCATAACAACATCTATGCACTTTTTTTGTATCCTTTTCGTTTTAATATTTTGAGCATAAAAAGTTTCAACGTTTGGAAAAGCAGTCTACTACTGGTGTAAAAGTAGCAGTTGTGATTTAAAAACGTTAAGCTTGGATGAAGAATAAAAGCAGAAAATGAAATTCCCTTTATTATATTCATAATTTAAGTTTTTTTAACGGTTCAAAACTGTCTACATTTGTCGCTGTAAAGAATTAGCAGATTGATCTTTACTTATATCAGCGGCATATTTTGCGAAAATCATTTGCTTATGTAACGTTCAATCTTATTTACTTTGTTCACAAAATTTTTATTCGTAATTTAAAATTAGTTAATTATTTTGATATCATTCACTATGACTAAATAAAATAACTTACGCGCCAAATAAGACATAATTTACAAAAAATAGTTGAGTGATTACTTTCAAAATACAGCTTTGTGTACATTAATACCCCTATTGTGTGTACAGAACTACTTTTCATACTTTATTTTTGAGAAATTTACAAATTGTTCTGTTTTTAAACACGTTCTATTACAAACTACGTATGTATTGATGCTGATTTTGCATGTTATTATTATCCTTCAATTATATGTAATCACTCACGCACTGTTTAGTCATGATGGAATCAATGATTTGCCTTTCAAAGATGAAAAAATGAAAAGGTCAATCAATAAATGAAAAAGAAATTCTCTGGTTTAATAAAAAATACTGAAAACAACCAACTGTAGCAGTTAAGAGCGTCTTCTCAATGCATCACTGAATTACTAACAGTTTTGATGTGATTGGAACAAATTTAGCAAAAACTTAATAAATTTCAAACAAAAGGTAATAATATATGCAGTTCAGTATGCACATTTTTATCCAGGCAAAATGAGAATTCAAAGAAATGAATCAAAAGTTAAAGTAATGGTAGCCATTTAATACCTTTTTTTGTAAATAATTTTACTTATTTTTGATAGTAATTTGAAAATTCATGACATTATCTTAAGTTTTCGGAATGTTGATGACCATGATAGAATTAGAACGGATTATGATATTTGAGTAATAAACAAACGAAGTATCATTACATGTAATCATAGAAGTAACATTAAAAAAAAAAAATGGTGCAAAATTATTCTTTTTGAAGTATTCTTGACAATGCAAAAATTTATTTAATGCAATAAAACATGATGCCACAGTGGTAGATAGCACTAGCTAAAATTATCGCATTATTAATATGCAAGATTAGATTTTCAAAAGAAATTTGGGAGTTTCTACAGATTTGAATGAATTTAATTGATATTATGAAGCAAACTAGTTTGTCTAAGTTTTTTAGTATTTGCCATATTTTCAGCTAAAGAAAAAAGTAAAAGAATAGTAAATACAATTTCTATAACAAGCAAACTGCAAATGATAAGATAAAAGTTGAAATTTTTATTTTACTACTAAACTTTAATCTAAAATGATTCAGAGGCCATTTTTTGAACTTGTAAAATAAACTGCAAACTCAAGAAGATTTGATTTCTAGAGAGTGTTAAATAACAGTTAATGAAAGATTAAAAATTGCTAGTGATAATCGTAATGAAAAGTTTGATCTATTTCATTTTCAATAGCTTTAATGCAATTGACAAATGATTTTAAAGTCTTAAGGATTTCAAATTAAAAGATAATAAGTATTTGTGTTTATTGAAACGATCAGTAAAGAAGAAGAACAGAAAAGATTGAGATATATTAAGTAAACATAATTTTCTCAGCAAACTTAGTTAAGAAAATGCTCATACTTTCTAGAAGTTAAATGATAAAAATGGTGCAAAATTATTCTTTTTGA